TGGCATATATTCAACACAAAAAACAGCGACAATTTGTTGTTGACATAGGACAGCTGGACATATAAAGGGCCCCATTACCTTCAGTAGCTTAGGGCCTCATCAAACCTAAATCCGGCCCTGCACCTAACATTTTAAAATGTTTTAACAGCACATGGACTCTAGACCCATTTCTGCAATCTAAGGTGATGTGTGCATTAGCGGTTTAAAATGCAGTGAGGTCATCAAACCACACATTGCTGTACCTACCAGAGAGGGAGCGTTGATGTTTTCAGCTGATGCACAAAACAGCTGATGTTTTGTTTCCATGTCCCTGCAGCCCCATGGACTCTTATTCATCAGTGCATGCACTGTTATTGGCACATGTGCTGTGCAAGGGCTGTCTTAAATGTACACATATCAACTTAACAGGGTTTGTGTTTTCCTTTTGAATTGATGCTGCCACCAAACAGCCAAACGATCCATGAAAGCGTATGCTATAATAAAATTGTTAAGTCTTTAAGGTGCCACAAGACTGGATTGCTCTTAGAAATTGTTAGATGGGCCCGCGCATGCCAGGCTACAACTCCTTTCCCTAGCTTGATAGCAGTGCAATAGCTTATTGTAAGGTATAAAAAGAAACCACCAATAAACACTCTTAAAATATGTTGCTTTTTCAAAATCTGATCTTCAGTCCTTCCAAGACCAAGCCTTATTTTTAAAGCTCCCGTCGCCAGTGAAATCTGGCACGAAGCCCCTGCTCCCAGCTTTGAAGTTCAATGTATTGTGGATTTAGATATGAGCTTGGTTTTAACTCTGCTGTTGTAATAGAGGTCTAGGAGAGCAATCTAGACAGACTCTCCCAAAGGTACTCCAAATTTGTGTGCACCTGTGAACTTTTTTGACAGGTCTACATAAGGTCAGGGCAGAGATTTCAGCACTGTTAATGCCTGCTAGCGACTGACATGCAAGTAAGTTACAGTGTTGTTGTTGTTTAGTCGTTTAGATGTGTCCGACTCTTCGTGACCCCATGGGCCAAAGCACGCCAGGCACTCCTGTCTTCCACTGCCTCCCGCAGTTTGGTCAAACTCATGTTGGTAGCTTCGAGAACACTGTCCAACGATCTCATCCTCTGGCGTCCCCTTCTCCTTGTGCCATCAATCTTTCCCAACATCAGGGTCTTTTCCAGGGAGTCTTCTCTTCTCATGAGGTGGCCAAAGTATTGGAGCCTCAGCTTCAGGATCTGTCCTTCCAGTGAGCACTCAGGGCTGATTTCCTTAAGAATGGAGAGGTTTGATCTTCTTGCAGTCCATGGGACTCTCAAGAGTCTCCTCCAGCACCATAATTCAAAAGCATCAATTCCTCGGCGATCAGCCTTCTTTATGGTCCTGCTCTCACTTCCATACATCACTACTGGGAAAACCATAGCTTTAGCTATACAGACCTTTGTCGACAAGGTGATGTCTCTGCTTTTTAAGATGCTGTCTAGGTTTGTCATCGTTTTTCAAGTTACAGTGCTAAGTAGGACCAATACTTCGGCTAGCCCACCTGTTGGATGGGTAAGAAATTGCATTCTCTCCCATGTGCCACAGTGCAATCCTATGCTGCGTGCCACATTGAGTTCAATGTGAATTTCTCCCAGTTTTATGCACAGGCTTGCAGCTGTAGATGAATTTTGGGAAGAAAGCAAACATTTTGGGGATTGGGTTGGCTGTGGGAGAAAAGGCTAAACATTCTGGGTCATTCCTATAGAGCAGAGAATTCATATTGGTTTATATACAAAAGCACAAAGTTATTATAGGGGGTGATATGCAAAGACACCTGCTCAGCATTGAACCCCAAGAGTTCAATTACCCCCTGCTCTTGCTACACAAAGTAACCATGGAAACCTCATTCTCCAAAGCATTGCTTAGTTCCTGAGCAACTCTAAAAGAAACAATAGTAAACATAATTTTCAAAGAATCCAGGGGCCAAGGCCATGATGATGATGAGAGGGTGGCTTGCTGTACTTAGATCTTTTGTGGGATGACATGCAAGGGTGTTTGGACTGGCCATTTGTGTGTGAGGACCCCCAAAACCACCCCCAAAATAAAGACACAATAGACACAGAATTTAGTTTCAGGTTTTTGGCATTAATTTTGGCCACAACTTTATTGATTACAGCATGTGAGTGGTTGCTTAGGCATTGGTTGCAGACTACCTGAACCTGCACGGTGGCAGGAACAGGACTGACACTGGGCACCGCCATATGTCTTTTAATTTTTTTTTAATTGAAAATTTAACCAAAACATATTATCCAAAAACATATCATCCTTAACTTTCCCCCATTTTTCCTCCCTCCCCCCTCCCTCCCACCCCCCCCCAACTTCCCTCAGTTCCATTCTTTGGTTTCTCTGTAAATGCTGTTCTCTGCATGTTACAAAGTTGTATAGATCCTTAAATTATATGACTTACTATTATCAATAAAAAGTTTGTGAAAGTTTATTCAAAACCTGCCAAGGACTCCAGTTCACTTTGTTGCCTCTTCAAATACTTTGTAAAGCGTTCCCATTCATCTTTAAAGTCAGTTATCCTTGTCCCATAGCTTATGTGTCAATTTTGCCTGTTCTGCATAGTCCATCAATTTTTCTTGCCATGATTCTTTAGTTGGGGTTTCTTCCGTCTTCCATCCTTGTGCTATTAGGACTCTCGCGGCCGTTGTAGCATACATGAAGATGTTTTTCAGCTTTTTTGGCAGGTCTTTCCCTACAATCCCAAACAAAAATGCTTCAGGTTTTTTTAACAAATGTTAGATGGAACATTTTCTCAATTCATTATATATCATTGTCCAATTTTTTTAAAATTACATTACAGTCCCACCACATATGATAAAATGTCCCCTCCAGTTCCTTACACTTCCAACATATATTTGAACAAGATTTGGACATTTCCCCTAACTGCACTGGTGTCGCCTACCATCTGTACATCATCTTCATATAATTCTCCTTCAGCAGGGAACAGTCTGTAAATTTTAAATCAGTTTTTCATAATTTTCCCCAATCTTCCATCATAATGTTGTGACCTACATCTTGTGCCCATTTAATCATGACTGATTTTACCTCTTCATCTTTTGTCTCCCATTCTAATAGTATGCTGTATGCGGCCTTCAGTAATTTCACTTTCCCTTCAATCACTTCCCCACCATATGTCAGTAAGGGAAAGCATCCTGGGGAAGCGAGAAGCTGGGTTCAATCTCACAGCTTGCCCCAGATGCTCCCAGGGGCTGTGGCGTGGCCCTAGCCCCTGGACAGGGTTCGGACAAAAGCAAGGTGAGCCCCTGGATTCCTTTAACAGAATTCCCTAGCAGCAGCAATGGAGGGGCAGGCACAGCCACCCACTTCCCCTCCACAAAACATTGAACCAATGCCTAACCGCCAACCTTACAAAGTTGTGATGATTTGCTACAAGTTAGGCAAAAACCAGGGATGCAGGAGGCGCTGTGGTTTAAACCTAGCCTAGGACTTGCCGATCAGAAGGTTGGCAGTTCGAATCCCCGCGACGGGGTGAGTTCCCGTTGCTCGGTCCCTGCTCTTGCCAACCTAGCAGTTTGAAAGCACATCAAAGTGCAAGTAGATAAATAGGTACTGCTCCGGCGGGAAGGTAAACGGCATTTCCGTGCGCTGCTCTGGTTCGCCAGAAGCGGCTTAGTCATGCTGGCCACATGACCCGGAAGCTGTCTGTGGACAAATGCTGGCTCCCTTGGCCAGTAATGCGAGATGAGTTCTGCAACCCCAGAGTCGGCTAATGGTCAGGGGTCCCTTTACCTTAGGCAAAAACCAAGTGGCAACAGCCAATCGGCAAAATTCCTACCGGGCCCGTGCTCCATAAACAGATGACCCCTAGACAGGCATAGCAAGGCCAAAGAACAGCCCTAACTATAGGGAGGGTGGGTGGGTGATCCGATGCACTTCGCAAGAAAAACTCTCTAGTGACGTGCAGCCTCTTAAATAGCCACTCGGCAGCCAATAGGCATCATACCCAGCCAAACCTCAGCCCCAGCAACCGAGGGGCAACCAATGGGGTGTTGTGGCTATCCAAACAGTCCCGCCCCACAACAGGGAGGCAGTTTATGGTGATCTCACCGCAACACGTGCCCTCCATGATGGAGGACACGATATATTGCAGTATGGTTGAGAGAACTGGCACTGGGAGAGGGGAGAAGGAGAGAGATACCATTGGCCTACTATAGAATATATTTAAGATTTTAAATGACAGAAAAGCAACATATTGGTATAGGATTGAAGGTTGGGGAGGACATTCTTTGGCGATACTTTCCAGCCTTCCCAGTTTTTGATTTGAACCCGGAGTGTCCCGCTTCTTCTTAGAGAGAAACGTTGGAGGGTTTGCGACCTCCCCCAAGCCAAGGGGATAAGTAACTATAGATAGATAAGAAACTTTATTTGCATTAGCCAACGGCCATAGCAACATAAAACCAGCAATATATACAATTAAAAAGACAACAATGGATCAAAAAGACAATCAAATGATCAAGACTATCAGATAGTGGCCCTGAATCTCAATGCACCCTTGATAAACCTAGCAACCTTTGCTGTTGTCTGGTCATTTTGATCTGATAACAGAAAGAACAATGTGGCCGCAGATGGGCGGCCTGGGATGGTGAGTAGGAGTGGGGTGATGATCTCACTCCTCAGATCTTTATAAAGGGGACAGGACAGGAGAACATGGGCCACTGTTTCCAGATTGCCATCTCCATGGGGCAGAGTCGTTTCTCAGTTGGTAACTATACAACCTTTAGAAAACATCTGAAGGCAGCCCTGTATAGAGAAGTTTCTAAATGGTTTCTTATGTTTTTATTTATATTGGAAGTGGCCCAGAGTGGTTGGGGAAACCCAGTCAGATGGTGGGGTATAAATAAAATTTATCATTATTATTATTATTATTATTATTATTAGAATAGCACGTCCCTATTTTCATAATGTTGGAAGGAACAGAGTTGCGACTAATGAAGTGCTAATAATGAGGAAGGCAGACATGTGAGATAGCTCAATGGGCAGAGCATGAGGCTCTTAATCTCGGAGCTGTGAGTTCGAGCCCCGCGTTGGGCCAAACGTTCCTGCATTGCAGGGGTTGGACTAGATGACTCTGGTGGTCCCTTCTATGAATAATCAGGCCGTCTAGGTTAGCAAAGAAGCCTCGCTTATCATCACATGTACGTGTGTCTTCTCTGCTGCTACCCCCCCTTTTCCCTTTTCCCACAACTGGATGTCAGAGAGCTAGGTTTCCATGACTACTGAAATGGAATCCATGTGCTGAATTATTAAACCGGGCCTGCCCTTCAGAGCCATTGTAACAAAGTCAGGATAGGTGGTGCTGCTTGTGTAGAAAACGCCTTCGCCAGACTGCCGAGAGAAGCGTTTGCTCTTTCGGATGCTTTCTGTGATGCATCCTGCCCTCCTCCATTGTGTGCTGGCTTGACAGGTCCAGTTCCAAGTCTTTTGCAGCCTGTTTGTTCCCTGCTGCTTATGGTTGCCACAGAGTTAGTATTTTATTGGTCCAATCCAGGGGTCAGCAAACTTTTTCATCAGGGGGCCGGTCCACTGTCCCTCAGACCTTGTGGGGGGCCAGACTATATTTTGAAAAAACAAAATGAACGAATTCCTTAGCCCCACAAATATTTTTTTTTTAAAAAAATAATATTTATTGCTTTTAAAAGTTACAAAAAAGTAGAAAAAAGAGAGAAGAGACCAAAAAGAAAAGAGAAAAAAAACAAGAAAAAAGAAAAACAAAAACAATACAATATATAAACAATACAAACCCACCCTAAACCCATTAAACTAAGCACATAAACAAAGCAAAACAAAAACAATTTAAAAACATCTCTCCTTTTCCATACTCTGTCCTTCATTCCCTTGTTTCCTCGACTTCCTCACACCTCCCTTCTTGTATCCCACTTCTAGTACTTGTTTCAGCAAATCCTTTCCATCTTTCTCTATTTTCTGTCATCCTTTGCCCCACAAATAACCCAGAGATGCATTTTAAATCAAAGCACACATTCTACTCATGTAAAAACAAGCTGATTCCCTACAAGACATTTTGTAAGGAGAAATATATGAAGTGCTACAAAGTAGATAAAGAATAGAGATATTGGTTATGAGTTTTAAATGTAACAGGGAAAATAAGAAATGTATACTAAGAGATTAGATTGGAAAATTTTCAGACAGGACTGATGGAAGTCAAAAAATTTAATAAGATGTAAAAATATGTTTAATTACTGTTGAAAATGGTATGTTAAACACACACACACACACACACACACACACACACACACATATATATAAACAAGCTGATTCCCGGTCCATCCGTGGGCCTGATTTAGAAGGTGATTGGGCCGGCTCTGGCTCCCAGACCTTAGTTTGCCTACCCATGGTCCAATCCATAAAGCCATCTTCTGTTAGGTAGTATGTGCCAGAATCTGAGAAACTAGGGACCTCCCCTGTACCTCACATTTGGAGCTGTGTCTTTTCCCCTTAAACCAGGGGCGCTGACCTGGGCCCCAGGTTATGGGTCCCAATGGCACCCGTGATGTCACTCACAGCACCCTCAACAAACTCCGGTTCCTAGAATTCTCTGGGAGAATTCAGCCATGACTGACAACAACCCTTTCAGACCCAAGTTCCACCTGTAGCTCAAACATGGAAATGGGGACTTGTATCTTCATTTCTGCCCCACAAACTTTTAAATTGAGTGATTCGCATGACACATATCACATACAGAATAACAGTGACCGGTGATTAAGAGCGGCGTACAGACCGGAAAACCGTCGACAACCACTGTATCCAAGGTAATTTTTTAAAAAAAACATTGCCTAAAATTAAATTAAACCCAAAGGAAGTGTGTGTGTGTGTGTGTGTGTGTGTGTACACATGCTATCATTAAAATCCCTCTCAAAAAGGTTGAAGTTGTATCATTCCAATATTAACTATTTTTATGTTATGAACTGCCCTGAGATCTTTGGATGAAAGGCAGTATACAAAATAAATAAATAATACTATAGAGATTCCCTTTGTCAATAGATAAATCTGAGTTCTGCCTCCCCTCTCTAACACAGATCTACCCTAAAAAATGAGGCACATAGATCCATTCATGCTGAATGAATGATCACATCTCACTCTCTTATCATGTTGGTGGTGGTGCTGTTGTTGTGAGCTTCAACATGAGTTGAAGATGTGTGCTCTAGATTCTGCTTGGCTTTGCTCGCGGACCACTCCATACCGCTCTGGCTGAGAGAAGCAGCTGAACAATAGTAAAGGTAAAGGGACCCCTGACCATTAGCTCCAGTCGTGGCCAACTCTGGGGTTGCGGCGCTCATCTCGCTTTATTGGCCGAGGGAGCCGGCATACAGCTTCCGGGTCATGTGGCCAGCATGACTAAGCCGCTTCTGGCGAACCAGAGCAGCGCACGGAAACACCATTTACCTTTCCGCCGGAGCAGTACCTATTTATCTACTTGTACTTTGACGTGCTTTCGAACTGCTAGGTGGACAGGAGCTGGGACCAAGCAACGGGAGCTCACCCCGTCGTGGGGATTTGAACCACTGACCTTCTGATCGGCAAGTCCTAGGCTCTGTGGTTTAACCCACAGCGCCACCCACATCCCAGCTGAACAATACACCTGCTTTAATTCATATACTGTTGGCAACCAACCTGCAACAGGTAGCAGAGCAAAGTCTGGCTCTTCAAGAACCTGTTTCAACTAAAACTGCTTGCGAGTCATTTTCTGCTCAGTTTGTGAATATGGACGCAGAGTGCATTGAAACCTATTTTTACATGATTTGTTAACTTGGTATTATAGTTCTGTTGTTATCTCATTTTTATTTTATTGAAGTTTAATTGTTTTTCAGCTATTGTATTTTATATGTTTGTAGCTTTCTGTGTTTTATCCATGTTTGCTTTAATTTTTTTTCAGCTGCCTTGAGTCCCAGTTTGGGGAGTAAGCCAGGATAATAACAATAACAATAACAATAACAATAACAATAATTTAATTAGTTTTCTAAATGGATAAAAGGGATGTAGGGCAATTGTGTTTCTTAGCTGCAGGCAAAAATCTGAATGATTTTTAGAAATTATTCACATGAGATGCTGGTTTGCAGAGCCCTGCCTGCCCATGTCCAGCCTATTTCTATCCTGGTGCCACCCAGCTGGGTAAACTGGCTCCAGAGCTATTGCCTATTTCCCCACCATAAAAATTAGCATTGGGAAATTTGTGTCATGTGGTTGTGCCCCAGCAATTCTCCAGGCTGCTGGCCGGCCATTTCTGGGTCTTCACCAAAGAAGAAGAGCTGTTGGAGTAACGTGAGCAATCTCAGGCTGTGTCAGAAAAGTTTGTTCCTCTTATGGGGAAGGGCTGGAGTTCAGTGGTAGAGCATCTGCTTTGCATTCAGGAAACCCCAGTCTTAGTTGCTTGCATCTCCAGGTAGGGCAGGCAGGGAATCCTTTTCTGAAATGCCAGAAACCGACTGCCAGCCTGTGTGGGCAATACTAAGACAACAACAACAACAACAACAACAACAACAACAATAATAATAATAATAATAAATAATAATAATAATAATTTTATTTATACCCTGCCCTCCCCAGCCAGAGCTGGGCTCAGGGCGGCTAACAACAGTAAAATTACAGTAAAAACATACATTTATATTATATGTATCAGCTGGCATTAAAAACAATAATATTTCCCTGAGAGTTACCTGTTCATTTTAACAGATTTCCTCTCTCTCGTGCTCATTTTGCATAGCCTCGTTGTACACCGCTTAAAAACTACGGGCGTTAAGCAGCATAAAAATGCCTGAAATAAATAAATAAATACCATATGATTTTTAAAAATTACTTGCAAGAGGACTCTTCAGGACGTCTGAAGCAATAGAGAATAAATTAAACCCAGTTAACATAAGACCTAATAACTTAAATGGGTCTCCTCTGAGTATGACCCATTCACTTGCGGGAGGTGGTGGTGGTGGAAGAACCCTTAAAACGAATCGGGGTATGTTGTTTTCCTGAGTATGTTTGTCCTACTCAGGGTAGACCTACTAATATGAATGGACATGCCTAATTTAGGCTCCACACTTGAGTTAAGCCTTAGGCGGCTACAGCCCTTTTTGTAGATGACTTAACAGATTTTAAATATGAAGCACTTAAGAAATGCTATTAAATAACTCTGTTTGGGGGGGGGGTGAGTGGTGAAAGATTTCTGCATTGCAGGGGGATGGAGTAGATGACCCTCAGGAGACCCTTCAAATTCTCTCTCTCTCTCTATATATATATAGAATTTTTGTGCACTTGTACCGCCCCTCATGCACAAACCTTTCTTCCTTTGTGTTCCACAAGGGCTGTGTTCCACTCACCCTATTTTCTCCCTACAACAATTGCACCAGGCAGGCCAGGCTGAGTCAGATTGAGAGCTGAGAGGGGTCTGAATCCATGAGTCTCTTAGCCCAACTGCAGTCCAATACTCTAACCACTATACCACACTGTGCAGCACTAAAAAAAGGCTGTGAGAACCTGCCGCAGATGGGTGTCTTGCCCAGTACGGCATGCATTGGAAGTTTTAAAACAGATGTTCGGTGGTCACCTGTCAGGGATTCTTGAGCTGTGTTTGGAGGGAGTTGGACTAGATGACCAATAGATAGAGGGACCAATGATTTGACTCGGTATAAGAAAACTTCATTTCTTCAAATGCCAGCATTTCCTCGGTGCCCAAACTTTTTCAGATTAACTGTGCATTGTGGGAAGGAGTCCCACCACATCCATTGATATCGCTGTAACATAAGAAGGAATTCTGGTTGTGGAATTCTGTGCGTGTTTGCTCACAAGAAAGCCCCACTGAGTTTGACTTATCAGCCAGGCAAGGGCTCCCACAATTTTAGCCGTCTGAGCTGACATGCATAGGATTATGCTGTTAATAAGACCATAAGCAGAGCGCTGCAGGATCAGGCAAAAGGGCCATCTATTTTTTAAAAAATATAATTTTTATTAATTTTTCTGTTTTACAATTTAAAATACTCATTTTACACCCTTAAGATATCAATGGCTCCCTTTCTTCTCTTTCCA